CGGCATCATTGCACCCCTTGTATCACTCACATGTGTGTACAGCTTCTCCACACCGCTGAAGCCAGTCGCCCGCTCGTGGTGCTCCTTGATCACTCGGGGCAGCTCCTCGAGCGGCACCACGGGGCACCACCGCCACTCTCCGCTGCGCTTGACGCAGCGGCACAGGATGTCCTGACCGCCAGCGCCCTTCAGCACCTGGAAAAACTGCAGCACCTTCTTGCTGTAGTTCTTGGCGCCGCCCTGCACTGCCGCCCCCCCTCCCGCACCCCGCCGCCGCCGGCCTGAGGGCGCCTGCTCGTCGCCCTGCTTGATCCGGATGATGCCCTCTACATCTGACTTAGTGAGAAACACATTCTTGGCGCCGTTTTGGCGCCGTTCTAAGGCATAAAGGATGACAGGTTGGTTCATAATTTTAAGTTTGCGTCAGCTGCGGGGTGCGGGAGGGGAGAAATAGAAGCCTTAGAGACTCTGAAAGGCGAAGGAAAGGGAGGGATCGCGGGAGAGAGCGTGCCTGATGAGCCAGACGAATCGGGGGAGGTGCCACATCAGCGGGCAACACATGCTGTGCCGCGCTCCCGCCGCCACTTGTCACCCCCTGGCAGACAAGCCCTTTCATTCACCAGTCTTTTGCGTGTTGGTGTACCCCGCGCCTGGTGCTCAGCGCTTAGCGCTATTTGAGTGTCCAGCGGCAAGCGCGATGGGTGTCAAGTCTGCGTACCTGTTTCTCTATAACACAGCGCTGTGCGCAGCCTGGTGAGTTGCGTCAGCTGGGTCGAACCAGCCAGGCCCTCCAGGTGGTCGCTGTTGAGCCGCCGCTCGGCCTGGCTGCAGGGCATACGTCCTGGTCTTGACTACGCGACACTCCAAGACCAAGGGCAGCAACCAGGAGCGCTGGGACAGCATCGATACCGTGTGGCAGGTGCGCCCGATCACTCGAGGAAGCCTGCGTGCTTGTCTCGCAGAGCTGATGTGTGTCTGTGTGCCCACATCAGCTCAAGGGCATGTCCGTGACGGCTGCGGGGCGACGCACTGCCACTGCAGGCGGTGGAGGTGCCCTTGAAGGTGGCGCAGACGGCGGCGGTGATGGAGGTTGTTCACAGCGCGGTGGGCCTCGTGCGTTCGCCTGTCCTCATCACAGGTGGGCCTCCACAGGATGCTGCTGCCAGGGCAGGCATGGTGCACTGCAGCAGGGTGTGCAGCATCATGCCGCTGCGCGGCATCGCCCGCCGCAGCCAACCGCCCGCTGCCCACCTTGCTCCGCTGTGCTGCAGCCACCCAGGTGGCGTCACGGCTGTTTGTGCTGTGGGGGGTTGTGGACCTGGTGCCCGAGGCGCACCGCCGCCCCCTGGTGTTGGCGCAGTGGGGCCAGACGTATCTGGAGCTGTCGCTGCTGTCGCTGCTAGTGGCCTGGTGCTGCAGCGAGATCATCCGCTACAGCTTCTTCGCATTCAAGGTGAGCAGACTAGCTGGAGTCGGGGAGAAGATGTGAAAGGCAGGGATGCAGCTGACTGGAGCAGGCAGGAGGGGGAGCAAGGCCAGCGGCAGCGTGGCCGACGCAGCGGTGCACCTTGTGGCCGCTGGCTGGCTGCTGCAGGAGCTGGGCATGCAGCCGTACGTGCTGCTGTGGCTGCGCTACACAGCCTTCATCGTGCTCTACCCGCTGGGCGTGTCCAGTGAGCTTGCTGAGGTGGCGCTGGCCATGCCCGCCATCCGCGCCACGCGCCCCTTGAGCATCCAGGCGAGTGGCCGCTGTGCTGCTGCAGCCCTGCGTCATTCATCTGTCTTGCTGTGCCAACTCTGTGTGTCCTGGCTCCGGCGTCTGCAGATGCCCAACAAGTTCAACTTTGCCTTTGACTACTACTGGGCCTGCTGGCTGGTGGTGCTGCTCTACCTGCCAGGTGCGGGGCAGCAACTTTGGCCAGGGCTGCTGTTCGTGCATCTGCTGGTTTGGGCGGCGCTGATGCTGCTGCCCTGCCGGCTCGGTGGGCGCCATCTGCGCTGCCTGCAGGCTTCCCGCAGCTCTACTTCTACATGCTGGCGCAGCGGCGCAAGGTCCTGCGCGTCGGCCGCATCAGCAGCTCAGCCAAGCTGAAGGCGCAGTAGGTCGCCTCGTTTCTTGTGCCCGGCCACAGTCCTGCCACGACGGCGGCGCTGCGCCCGGCATGCCGCCACCTCGCCCCATTCCTGTTCCCCAACATTGACCCGCACTGTTTGCGCTTCTTTCTCCTTTCAAGCTCCTGCATTTGTTTTTCACGCACTTGTAGCAAAAGGCCGCTCTCATCCCCTGTCAAGAGATCACTTGGCCTGGGACAGCGGACAGACAGTGCTGATCGCATGGAGGAGGAGGTCGGGGATGACTTGTACAGCGACTTTGGGCCTGAATTGGGCGTGGCCGACGATGGCCGATGGGTGTGTGCTTGCTCAGTCTCGCATCGGGCCAAGCCCAGGGTGCGATGCATCCAAGGAGCGCCAGGACCGATTGTCTGCAATTGAGCTGTCACGCCCCGGCCCCTGCAGGCGGCGCCCACGGCGGCGGCGACGGTGGCGATGCAAGGTGGGGCGCATTTTGGCTGCCATGCAAAGCACACAGGAGGAGCAGTGCAAGAGGGACCCTTTCTAACTGCAATGCAGGTGGCGCCACTGCCCCTTCTAGCAGGGTGCCCGAGCCGCCGCTGGTGACGGTGGCGCCAGGTGCCGCCGATCTCTACGCAGACCTGTTTTCCGGGGAGGGCAGCAGCGGGGGCACGCTGTTGAAGACGCAGGTGGCAGAGGTGCGCCCGTACACGTGCATGGTGTTCAGAGGGATGACACGCAGGAGGGTTGCCTGCCCGGCGGGGAGCAGCTGCAGTGTGCTGGTGGGGCGAGGCCTCATCATCTGGAACCCGTCGGCCAATGTTGGATCCGCCTTCTTTGCTTGAGATGGTCCCCTGCAGCTGACCGACAGGGTGCAGCGTCAGGAGGTCCAGATCAGCGGCCTCCAGCAGCAGGTGGACACGCTGACGCAGCAGGTGGGCCCGCACCCTTCACGCCCCGTGCAAGCGGGCTGCATCCTCGCATGCCGTGTCGTGCCGCCTGGCCCCTCTGCCCTGCCCTGCCTTGCGCCATCGCCGCGCCCCCGCCCACCGCCCCTTGGCTGTGCAGAACGGGGAGCTGTCTGAGCGGTGCGCCACCCTGGCCGCCAACATCTCCTCCCTGTACAATACAGCCAAGCTGGAGCTGCAGCGCAAGGATGCAGAGATTCGAGAGCTGCGGGAGAGGTGCAGTGGATGGGGCGGGGCGGGCCACGGGGGTTCAGGCTTGCGTCGGGCCTTGCCACGCCGAGCAAGCGTGTGGGGTTGTGTGCTGTTGGCTCGGGGATGGCCAGTTTACGCGTCAGTGCATTGGGCGGGCTGTGGGATTTGCGGCAAAGTGGGGGCCCATTGGCTGCATGCTGCAATGCAGGATGGCGGCACCGAGCGGCGCACGAGGCAGGGCCCCTGCACCTGCTCCATCGCCCCGGCCTGGCAGCACTTCAGGGCGCCCTCCCGCCCAGCACCAGCCTGCAGCGCAATCACACGCTGGCACGGAGCAGGGCAGCTTGCAGCCACCACCCCAGCAGCAACAGCAGCAGCAGCTGCAGGCAGGGCAAGAACGGCGGGACGAGAGGAGGCATGGGAGACCAGACGAGGCAGGGCGTGGCAGCAGCAGCCGAGAACACTCGCAGCCTGGTAGTCGGCCGCCTGGTGGCAGCCGATCACTCGCCTCCAGCGAGGAAGGTGGCGGCGGTCTGAGGGCGGAGCGATATGCTTCTGAAGAGCGCCGTGGCGGCGGCTCTGACCGCCACGAGCACCGCAGCAGGGACTACCGAGACCGGCGGTAGCTGTTTGCTGGTGCTGTGCTGCCGTTCTTGTGTAAGCATTCGGGCTGCGGAAGGCCTGTGTGCGAGGAGCGCAGGACACTTGTGGCGGGCCGTGGCGGGCCGTGGCGGGCACGCTGGCAGCAGGGAGGCCATCATCCGTCGGCCGATGCGGAAGCGCTGTCGTAAGGGAATTGCAGGCTTTTCAGCATTGGAGACAGCCCGACGCTGTATGCTGCTCCGGCTCCGCCAGTATTTCAGTGTGAAGGCTGCACCCTACGCTGCACGCTTCAGCAGCCTCGCTCGGGGAGCTGCACCCGATCCGCAAGCGCCCAAAAGCAGTGCGACTGCGGGGCCGGCAGCAGCTGGTGCTGCCGTCGCTGCTCCCGCCGCTCCACACCAGCCAGCCGCTCCCCCTGCGGGCGTCCAAGCTCAAGCTAGCACCACGGCAGCCGACATGGTACAGACACGACGGGCAGCAGCAGCTGAGTTGGCAGAAGAGTGCCGGTTGGAGCGAGTGATCAGCAACCTTCAGGCCTCGTGTTCGGCGGCGCCTGTGGCTCCAGCGGTGCGCCTCCCTGCCACCGTGCCGAGCTGCCAGCTCGTTTCACTGCTGAACCCTTCATTCGAGGTGCTCTCGAATTCAACCAGCTTTGGGAGGGTTGATCACTGGGTGCGCATGCTCCCTTGCTCTTCCTGCAGGTGTCGGGCAAGTTTGCTGCCGTGCTTGTGCCGCTCTTTGAGGACCCGGCCAGCGGGGAGGTGCATGTGGTCCTCAATCAACGCAGCAGCAAGCTCAACACACACAGCGGTGAGGCAATGCACTTGACCGTAAGAGCAATGCACAGGTTTTGCAGCCGTCAAGCTGTATATATCTGATGCCAGGCTGTTGCTAGAGGCTGCTGAGCGATGCCATTGGGATGCAGGCGAGGTGTGTTTCCCCGGCGGCAAGCGCGACCCAGCAGATGCTGATGACATCGCCACGGCGCTGCGGGAGGCACAGGTGCAAGGCGCTGCAGCGGTCGCTGCCTGGTTGATGACGGCGTGCACATGCGGAAGCAGCCATGCACGGTTGGTTTGGCCACTAATCTGTGTCTGTCATGTTTTGCCTGGCGCCGCCTGCTGTGCAGGAGGAGCTCAGCCTGGACCCTGCTGCCGTGCGGGTGGTGGCCTGCCTGCCGCCATTCCTGTCCAAGCACCTGCTGTCGGTGACGCCTGTGGTGGGAGTCATCCCGCCGCACCTGAGGTTCAGCCCCAATCCCAGCGAGGCAAGAGGAGAAGAAAGTTCGCCTGCCTGCTCCACTTGCCTGGTTCGCCTGCCTGCTCCACCTGCCTGCCTCCTCAAATTGCTTGCCTTCGTGCCTGCGTGTGCTGCCCGCAGGTGGCAGCGGTGTTCACGGTGCCGCTGCGGCGCTTCCTGGAGGCGGGGCCCGGCTACTCCAGCAAGGATGTGGAGTGGCAGCCGGGAGTGCCATACAGGTAGGTCCCGGTCTGTGCTCCCTGTGTGTTGATGTGGGCACACGTGCCACTCACTCCCCTCCCTCCCCTGCTGCCAATGCCCGACTGCACCTCCCGCTGCTTTCGCGCAGGTTGCATTACTTTGATTATGTGCACCGCGGCACCAGCTACTGCATCTGGGGCCTCACAGCTGGCATGCTGATCGTCATTGCTGAGATTGCCTTCGGCCGGACACCAGATTTCCAGCCCAACCCGCCCAACGCGCTGCCCTACACGGCGCTGTGCTTCGATGGCACCAAGCTCATGTATCGGCTTGATGGCGGCAGGCCCTGGGCGCCGCAGCATGCAGCCTCTGGGGAGCGGGATGCCCTGCACCTGGCGGCAGAGGCAGCGGCAGAGGAGAGCCCGCGGTCGGCGGCCATGGCGGGAGCGGTGGTCATGGACGACGAGGCGGCGGCGGCGCTGGGGGCACACGAGGGCGGCAGCAGGGACTGAAGTTTTTTGAGTCGCCAATCACAATTTGCAGAGTGTGTGCAGCAACGCAGAGTGATGATTTGGTCCAGCGGGGTGCGGGCTCGTTTGAACGGCACAACCCGCCCCGCGTACTGCCCAAGTGCGGTTGTACCTTGGGCGCGCCTGCGGTTCCCTGCCGCAGGTCCCGACGCACAGATTCGATTGCTCACTAGCTATTTCCAACAGGAGAGTCTTTGCGTCGCCCAACTCCCGGCGTGCTCAACAACCCGCAGGGCGCTGGTCTCCCGCTGGTTGCCATCCTAGCAGCGCTTTAGCGGATTGCAGCGGCTATGCAGCGAGGCAGGGGGGCCGGCCCGGCCCTGGTGCTGCTGCTGGCGCTGGGAATTTGCGGCCTGCAGCTGGCTTCGGCCAAGCTCACTGTTGCGGAGATCACCAAAGATGATAGGAGCCTGGTGCGCGTCTGACAGCTTGCCTGCACGATCGGGCCAAACCTCATCCTCCTGGCCACTGGGCGGCCTCCGCTGCCTCCGCTGCTTGGGAATGGGAGCGCACAGTGTACGGGACCACGCACCGGGCCGCAGCTCATCGGGGCGGGTTTGGATGGCAGGGCGCCCTGGCCGCCAACCCCGCCGCCAATCGTCGGCGCGCCCGACTCAACACCACCCGGCACCGTGTTGGCTGTGCTTGCTGGGTGCAGATCCTAGTTGCCGAGCCGTTTGGCTTTTCTGAGGATGGACGAATGAACATCACCGTCTCTGACTTCATGCTGTGGAGCCCCGGGGAGGTGAAGAAGAACGGGCCTTACGACAGGTGCGGGCCAAGCGAATAGTCCACTCGTGTGTTGGCTAGTTGTGCGCTGCGTTTGAGTGAATGCATTCTATGCGTCACCTGTCGGTGTTGATCCATCCACTGGCGACACCAGCCCACCTTTTTTCGCCGCCGCGCCACTCGCCCCGCAGGGTGGGCTTCTTCGTCACCACGCCCGCGGTGGAGGGCCAGCTGGAGCTGGACCTGGCTGAGGGCAAGTGCCCGCTGGACAGCCAGGACATCGCCATCACCCTGTTCACCTTTGACGCCATCGACCCGAAGAAGGGCTCCGTGTCCCGCGAGTTCCGCCTCTTTAATATGCTGAAGGTGTGGGTGTATGTGGGGTGCGGGCAGCTGCCGGCTGGCTGGGCTGCGGGGGCTTGGGATGGGAGGCGGTTGCAAACGGCTGGGGCCAGGGTGATGCGTATTGTCTCCTGCCAGGTTGATGGCTGCCTGTTGTCCGTGGCTGCTGTGGCTGCCCAACCACCAGCACGCCTACACACATGCACACACCGCCGCCCCGCTCCTTCCCTCCTCCCCTCCTCCCCCCAGGACTACACCGGCGGCGAGTTCTCCCTGTTCTTCGCCAACTGCGAGCCCGACAGCGCCATCGACTTCACGGTGGAGGTGGCGCTGTACAACGTGTGGGGTGCGTACCGCCTCGGTTGTACCGCCTCTGGTGTACCGCACCTATTGTACTGCCGACTGTACCTGCACCGCCTCGGCCATATCGTTGTTCGGCGGGCTGCTGGCCGCCGCTGCAGCTGAGAGTGGCACCCACGCCGCCGCACCGCACGCCCCGCCGCTCCCCTGCAGGCGACCGCTTTGACTACCTGCCTGTGGGCGAGGACATGCTGCCCTTCATCTACTTTGTGAGTTGAGCTGCTGCGCCTGGTGCAGGCCCGTCCTGCGCCGCCCTGCCCCCCATTCCGCACAGGAGCTTGACAGGCCCTCCAACGGACAGGAGCTTTCCATGCATGCAAGGGGCGCATCCATCCCCTGCCTCCCTTCCCTCGCTCCCGATGACTATGCCCAATGCAGACCATGTTCATCATGTTCTCCGCGCTGGGCGTGGTGTGGACGCTGATGGTGATCCGCGGCAAGCAGGACTCCCACAAGATCCACTACCTCATGATCGTGCTGGTGGCCTTCAAGTCGCTCACAGTGCTCAGCCAGGTGCCTGCCTGCGGGCTGGGCGGGGCTGCCGGCGCTGCAGTCCAGGCCCCGGCAACCGACGCTGGCTGGCTGGTGCCTGCTGCGAGGGATTGGGCGACTCGCACCACCACACACCGTCACTCACTCGCGTCCCTCTGGCCCCTCCCGCACTTCCCCCCAGGCCTTCATGTACCACACCATCTCCATCTACGGCGACGCCGAGGGCTGGAACATTGCCTTTTACATCTTCACCGCCTGCCGCTCCTTCCTCTTCTTCCTGGTCGTCATCCTGCTGGCCACCGGTGGGTGCGGCTGTCGCCCGTGCTCCGCGGGTTATGTTTGGGGGGTCCCGGCGTTGCACTTGGATGTTATGTGTGCGTGCTGTGGTTGCTGCCAGGACACACAGCAGCCCCTGACCCCTCCCCGTGCTCCACCACCGTTCTGCTGCAGGCTGGTCCTACATGAAGCCCTTCATCGCGCCCCGCGAGAAGCGCCTGCTCATGGTGGTCATCCCGCTGCAGGTGGGGGCAGCAGACACGCAGCCGCCGGGGGTTGGTCTGTGGCAAGCTCGTGCACCACGCACCACCAACTGCAATGCCTCGCTCTGCTGTTGAGCGGGCGTCTGGCCCTTTCGGTGTCGATTCTTTCCGCTTGAACCCTCAGCCTCACTGGCTGGTGTTGCCCAACGCCCTCCCGCCGCAGATCATCGCCAACTGCGCCATCATCTACCTGGACGAGTTCACCCCCGCCGCCGAGTCGTGGTTCACGTGGCGCGACATCCTGCACCTCGTCGACATCGTCTGCTGCTGCCTGGTCCTCTTCCCCATCGTCTGGTCCATCAAGCAGCTGCGCGACGCCTCGGGTGGGTGTTGGGGCGGGGTGGGCCAAGCGTTTGAGTGGCGTGGGGGTGGGTGCAGGCTGGTGGGCGTGGCAGTGTGGCGGGTGTCGGCGCGTGATGCAGCCAGCAGCGCCGGCGTGCATGCGTGTTCATTGTGCGCCCTGCCGTGCCGCTCCTGGCTGCAGAGACGGACGGCAAGGTGGTGCGTACGCTGGTCAAGCTCACCCTCTTCCGCCAGTTCTACATCATGGTGAGGGGAGGGAGTGGGTGTGGCTGGTTTGGGTTGACTGTGCTTGGTGTGCATGTTGTGGTGTGTGTGTGGAGGGCGCCCGTCAAGACAGCCGTCTCCAGCAAGACCCGTCCAGCGTCAGCCATGCGCACTTCTTCCCAGCCATGCTGCCAAACTGCACCACCACCTGCACGGCCAGTGGGGCCGCCGAACCGTACCGCCAAACAACGACCCGTACCGCGCCGCGTACCGCCGCAGGTGGTGTGCTACATCTACTTCACCCGCATCATCGTGTACCTCCTGGAGTCCACCCTGCCCTACCAGTACATTTGGATGGCGGCCGCCGCTTCCGAGCTGGCTACCCTCTCCTTCTACATCGCCTCTGGCATCTCCTTCAGGTGGGTGGGGCGGGGGATGTGTGGGTGTGTGGGGGGAGTGTGCATGTGGTTGGTGGTGGTGGTGGTGGTGGTGGTGGTGTGGGTGTGTGGGGGGAGGTGGTTTAGCAGGGTGGGGCACACGAAGCATCCATGCTGCTCATGCCGGTGGCTGTGACTGACTCGCAGCCGCCTGCCCTGCGTTGATGGCTTGTGGTTTTGAGGGGCTGGCTGCTGAGGTTCAGCCTGCTGCCTTGCAACCCTGGCCTCACCCCTGCCTGCTGCCGCTGCTACCCCCAAAACAGGCCGATGCCAGCGGGCGCCAACCCATACTTCCAGCTCACGGAAGAGGAGGCCATTGAGCTGACCAAGGCGGAGAATGAGGAGAACCCCTGAAGGGGGGCTTTTCCCTTTTTAACAGCAATCGCTGTAGCGCCCTGCCCTCCCCGTGCGAGGGGCGTTTCCACACTCCTCCGCAGCACCAACATTTGGCCCAATTGCTTGAGAGTCCAGCCTGTGGGTCGTCGCCCCAGCAGCTTTCTTCTCGCCACCGGCGCTTCTCCCGAGGCACCTCCCCACAGCAGCCCCCCTGGGTCACCATGCACCCAGCGCCTTCCTCCAAATGCTTGGCCGCTTGGCCGCCTCGATGCTGCGTTTCTTTTCTGTCTTGCTTACACCAGGCAGCTGCACTTCACTTTCTCCAGCTCAGCACGCGTGATACACACCTGGCTTCGAAAGCAGGTGGCTGCCCCGCTCTTTTTTGGTGGGCCTGCACGCCCCAACACTGTTGCCTCCCTGCTGCAGACTTGTAACCTGAATGCTGCCAGTTCCACCCGCTGCCTCACAGCCGGGCTGCCGCATCTCCGCCCCCGCGGGCAAACGCATCGAGCACTGCTGCCTGCCCGGGCCGCTGCCGACTGAGGCGGTGCGGGGAGATGTCGTGTGGGGTGGCCCCTTCCATCGCCAGGTCTGCCAGTATGCTGCCAATCACCGGCGCAAACTTGAAGCCGTGGCCGGAGCAGCAGGAGGCCAGGACCACCTGCCAGAGAGGCAGGGGAGTGTGGATGGATGTGTGCGGGAGGCGCGGCGCCCATCGAAGCGTGCCAGGCATGGGGGCATGCAAAAAACAAAAAGGGGCAAGGAGCCACCTGCTGAAGGAAGCTGCTATCATGCCCCTACCTGCCCGTGGAGCGGGTGGCGGTCCAGAATGAAATCCAGGTCTGGCGTGTTGGTGAAGGTGCAGACGGCGGCACGTGTCAGCCGCCCATCGGCCTCTGCAGCGCCCGCCAGGAGGCAGGGCCACACAGAGGGGTCACAGACTGCGGGGCTCGATTGGCTGCAGTCCTCCCTCTCCCAGTGCATACACACCGTGCTGGCTTTCAGACGGGGCTGCCAGCGCAGCTGTACCTGGGAAGTAGCGGCGCACGCACTGGCGCAGCGCCTCCTCGTCTGCGGAGCTCACGCTGCGGTCCACGCTGTCCGCTGTGGTGACCTGGCGTAGGTGATGGTACAGCCCTACCTTGAAGCCGTGCTCGTCAGCCGGAAAGCCATAAAAGTACCGAGTCTCGTCATGCAGCAGAAACACAGGGAAAACCTGCAGTGGGGTTCATAACAGAGCTCTCACACAGCAGCAACGCATGCCACCAAGCTATGAGCGGAGCCAGCGCTCGCGGAAGAGGGCGGGGCCTGAGGGCAAGTGTGGCGCTGGTCACATGCAGCGTGAAATGCTGGCGCTGCTCACCTGCGGCGTGAAGTGCTGGCGCTGCTCAGGCACCAGCTGGAACCAGCCCACCACCTGCCGCTCAACAGTCAGGATGGGCTACAGCAGGGGCAGAAGAGGGCATGAGATGCCGGCAGCAAGTGAACAAGTGGTGGCTGCGGAATGCTGCTGTGAGTGGAGCAGGTAGGCTGGCTGGACCTCACCCGCAGCTGCGGCACCAGCTGCGGCATCCAGCCTCCTGCCGCCAACACCAATCGCCTGGCGATGAACTCGCCTCTGGTCGTTTGCACTCGCACCAGGCCTTGTGCCCCACTGCTGCCCCCTGTGCTGCCGCCGCCGCTGCTGCCGTCAGGCATGGTGCCGTTGGAAGGTGGCAACACTTGCCAGCCCAGGACCTTGGCGCCACACAGCAGCTCGGCGCCGTGGCGCTGGGCGAGGTGCAGGTGGGCCTGGATGCAGCGCTCGGGCACCAGGAAGCCGCCCTCCGGCTCATACATGGTTTGGAAGCTGGGGGGCAGGTGGTACCCTGGGAAACGCTGCTCAACCTCGCTGCTGGTCAGCACCTCGTGAGCCAAGCCGTGCTCCTGGGCTGCAGAGGCGTCGGCAGGGGGCAATGTAACTGGGATGGTGCATGAGCCCAACTCATGCATGCACGCCAGTCACAGCACGGGAGAAGCTTGCTGCTAGACTTGCCTGAGCGCAAGGCTCCCTGGAAGCAGCTGGTGCCCGGGCCGCAGTCTGCATCTGGCGGCGATGTGTTGATGCAGCCGGTCATCGTCAGCAGCCGCTCCCCGCTCTCCTGCTCCAAGCCGCGCCACAGGCGGTACGCCTCCCGCACCAGCGGCACGTACGATGGGTGCTCAAAGTAGGAGAGCCGGATGATGCGGGAGAGGCCGTGGGAGGAGCCGTAGCTGTGGGGCGCGGAGGGCTGCGCCTCCAGGCCCAGCACCTGGCAGGGCACCAGGCCAGAAGCTCGACGCAGGTGGGTGGCGCCGCCGGCGGCGGGGAACCCGCACTTCCCGGGCATGCGCCCTCGCCCGCTGCCACCCAGTGCACGCCCCGATTACCTGCACCCCTCGCTTGGCAAGGTGGAACAGGGCCGCCGAGCCCATGGCGCCCCCGGCGCCCACCACGACACAATCGAGCACCCTAGCTGCGGACATTGCGAAAGCACATGAGGAGCTGATCGGGTGCAGCTCCTGTTCAAAGGATGGGGGGGATCCTCTCAGTCCTGTCCCCGCCAGCTGGCCCACTCTGTCCCCGCCAGCTGGCGCCCCGCCGCCTCGTCAACCTCGCGTCAACTCAGTTTTCAGTTGACTCAACTGTAATCACCAAAACTGCCCTACGTGCTTGTTGGAGATTACAGAGGCGGGGAATCATCATCACTGAGCCTCACTCATGCCGCCACCACAGCGGTGATTGGCCGCGCGGTGACGGCCCCGCCGCCGCCGCTGCCGCGGTCTGGCGGGAAGGCCACAAACTGGCCATCGTTCACCAGCACCACAGCCTCCTGCCGCTGGCACCACTCCTCCACCCCCTCTGCTCCCAGTGGCGCGCCGGACAGGCTGCCCGTGCCAGATGCCCGGGCCCCTGTGGAAGAGCCCCGAGCCACCGCCCCCGGCCTCCTCAGGACGGCACGCCGCCGGGCCGCCGCCGCCGCCTCCTGCGCCGCCTCCTCGCTGAAGCACAGCACCTGCGAGAAGTCCTCGACGGCCGACAGCGCCGCGGGGGCGCGCTGCAGCACGCCCTGCAGCCAGGGGAAGGCCAGCACGCCGGCTGCTGGAGCACCCGCACTGTGTGCAGGCATCATTCGAGCGCTGCATGCGTCACACCCTCATCCCAGCCCTCTGCCCCTCCCTGTCACATGCCCACCTTCCACACGAGCTGCTCATCCAGGTAGCACTCCAGCTCCTGCACCCCGCGGCTGGGAGTCTTGCCATAGTTCCACACCCTGCAGCGGGTGCGCATGGGACATCCTAGCTTCCGCTTGACAAAGACCTGGTCAGCCAGGCCTTGCTGGACACACCCTACCCCTGAGCACCCAGCTGAGAGGTGTTGGGCAGACAGTGATCCGCAGCAGCAGCAGGAGGACACGGACTGCATGGTCAACCCCTGCCCGACTCCCACCGCTGCTGCCGCCATCATGCTCGCCTGATGGAACCCAGCAGCAGCGGCGCGTCCAGCACAAGCAGCACCGAGTTGCCCTCCTGGGGGTCCAACGGCGCCAGCCAGCTGTGCTGCGCCACGCCGCTGCGGCACAGGGCAGGAAGGCCGAGGCCTGAGTGCAGTGTTTATGGTGGCGGACATAGAATCAGGCCTTGGAAGAAACCGCCGGGCCCCGCCAGGGCGCCAGCAGGCACGCTCTGAGGGCTTGTTCATGGCTCCAGGTGCTGCCCACCTGGTGACCCCATCAACCAGCTTATCCGGGGTGCGCACATCCGCCGCCATCCCAGGCAGGATCGCCACGCTGGTGGGCACTGCACCCTCGTGATCAGGCAGCAAGGTGACAGGTCATGTCACAGTGGGGGTAGCAGCCGCAGGGGCAGGAGAGCCGGGCGCCTCAGCAACCGCCTCAGCCTTATCCACCATGTGTGTGGCGCTGCCTCACCCGCATGGACTTGGTCGGGGCGGATGCGTACTGCCCCACGTACCGCATCACGTACCTCGATCCCGCTCAGGCCAATGTAGTGCGGGCAGCCCCAGGTCGTGAGCATCACCAGCCGCAGGCTGCAGGGAGAAACGGTCGGCAGCTTGGGGAAAGGATGCACGAGGCACGGCACGGTGCCGGCTCGCAGTGCCGCTTTGCAAGGAGGCGCGTGTGGCAAGGGGGAGGCCAGGAGGCACAGCGCGGAGCCACCGAGCAGCTGTCCCCACCCCTTCACCCACTGCCCCAACCCCCACCTGAAGCCGCAGGGCAGGGCAGTCCCAAAGTTCTCTCCAGGCTGCTGCACCAGTGCGGCACCTGGGCCCGCCGCCTTGCTGAGCGCCGCTGCCCGCTGCAAGTAATCCAGCGCGGCTGCTGGGTCCGGCATGTTGCAGGCCCATGCCACGCTCTCCCCATGAATAACCAGCTGCTGCGGGGATGGCTGCTGAGGAGGCTGCGGCTGCGGCTGCTGCTGCTGCTGCCCAGCCACCTGGCGCTGCTGGTGGCTAGCAGCGGGCAGCGCACCGATACCCACCTGGCCGGCTGCGGGCTGCCCTGGGCCGGGGCCGTGCTGCACCGTGGTGCGCTTGCGCCCCGCCCTGGCGCCGCTGCCGCCGGCTGACCAGCAGGTGTGCAGCGGGATGAGTTGGCCAAAGTCGAAGGCATCTGTGCCGGGGGCGCGGCGCACCAGCACACCGCCAGGCGGCGACACCTCCACGCCATCTGCGGCCAAGGCAGACAGGGCAGGGCAGCCGAAGCTGTGTCTTCCGGTGCCGGAGGCAAGCCAAGGCAGCGACAAATGTCAGACCCTGCCGGCAGGGCCGCTCGGTGCCTCTGAAGACGTGGTGACCCCAGTTGCATGAATCCACAAGCTCACCCGCCAGCACAACCATGCGCTTCACGCCCCGCGCCGTGTCTGCCGCACTCTTGTTGTAGTTCCTGCGAGACAGGGCCAGACCATGGTGCTGTTGATGGGCCACACGACACGACTAGCGTAGCAGATTGGTGGCCAGACAAGCAGTCGCCTGCGGAGCGGCGAACCTACCACACACGAAGGCCAGACACCGCGCAGGCACCCTCCAGGCTGAGCACCAGCAGGTTGTGGGGGCGGGCTGCCTCGGGGAACGTCCCACGGTCCAGGCCGCGGCGGTGTCGCTGGCAGGCGGCCGCCACGGCAGCGCTGAGCTGGCGCCGCACGGGCGCCAGCCACCTGCAGCGCATAGTGCAGCTCAACAGCTGCTCACACAAAGGCCACAACAGGTTCCTCCAGCACTGATCAAGTACAACCTCCACCGCCCCAAACAACAGACACACACACATACAATTCTGCCGCTCTGCATCCTTGCTCACATGTGCGCGTCATCTGTCGTGTTGTTCGTCCCATCCACCAGCTTGTCAGCTGTGCGCACGTCGCCCGAGTGGCCGGGGAAGACGTTGAGGTCTGGCGGGTCTGCCGCCACCCTGCTGGCCGCCACCGGCAGCGGCTGGCCGTCGCCTCCCAGCACCTGCAGCCCTGACAAGCCCACAAAGTGGCTGTCCCCCCAGGTGTCCAGCAGCACCAGAGCCAGCTCCTGGCAGCATATCAGCGCGCTGGCGGCGGCGGAAGCGGCGCCGGTGGAGCTGCTTCGGGAGCTGGCGAGCGACAGGCGCCGCTCCGGGGCAGGCGCTCGTGGCGCGGCCGCGGCTGCTGCTGCCTCGGGGCTTGTGCTGAAGGCTGCGGTCAGTGGGCGGCCGCCAGACACGAGCTGGTGCCTGCCGGTGGGGACAGGGCCCTGGGGCAGCAGGCACAGCGTGGCGGTGCGCTCCAGCTGGCCTCGGGCCGTCAGCGGCACCAGCGAGCTTGCAGTCACTAAGTCGAGGTGCGGGGCCTCTGGGCCGCCGCCGCCACCCAGCACGCTGGCCCTGCCGCCGTCTGGCCCGGCTGGCGAGGCTGCCAGCTGGCGGCTGTACCGCACATCGTACTGCTCGATGGCTGCCAGCGCTGCTTGGTCATCGGTGAACAGGATGAGCTCGGCATGCTGGTACGCCTCTGCATTAACAGGTGCGGGAAGGAAGGCGCAGAGAAGGCCATCAGCACCGTTGCCGGCAATGGGCAGAGCAATAAGCACACTGAGCAGTGGCTCAGCAGCATCCCGACCAGCCATTCCCCTGAAGCGAGGACTGCTCTTTTGGGTTGCCTGTCACCTGACACGCTGCCGGGCGCCTGCCGCAGGTCGCCACGGAAGATCACGCCGCCATCCAGCGCAAGCTCAACATGCCTGCGTCGGGGCAGCAGGGCACCCCGGGGTGGACCCATCGCAGTCTCGACTCCACACGACCTGCCTGCTAGGCCTGCTGCTGCCCTGGTTGTCGGGTCCAGCAGCCAAGGCGTGGTGCCACCTACCTGGCGCCCCGCAGGGAGTGGATGCGGCTCTTGTTGAAGTTCCACACGCGGACCGCCCCCAAGGAGCAGGGCGCATCCAGCGCCACGCTGACGACGTGCAGGGCGCCGGGGGTGAAGGGCACCAGCCACACGTGGGCATCGTCACATGTCATGCACACGCCTGCACGCAGAGGGCGCAGCTGTACGTGGTGGTAGGGAGAGCAGAGAGCACGCAGTCCATCCGGCTATTCATGAGGAGGCAGAACCAGTGGTTTCCATTTCAAGGGAGCCGAAGAGGCACCCGGCGCGGGCGCTCGGCCGCCTGCCGCCTGGCCCCTGCCCACCATCCAGCAGCTTGTCTGGGGTGCGTGGGTCGCTGCCGTACTCAGGCAGCACGTTGATGCTGTGGGGGGTGGCGCTGACCTGGCGGCGAGGGTCCCTGCATGCCCATCAGTGGCAAAGGCAGGAGGTCGTTGGGCGGGCCCTGTCAACACAAGGAGCTAGGCCCAGTGCAGCAACAGGGGCAGGTTTCTCCACCAGTCAGCCCAGCTGGCAGCGAGCTAGCGGGGAAGGGGCTCAAGGGCAGCGCACCTGACTGAGATGGGCTGGCCGCTGGCATCAAACAGCTCGATGCCTGCCAGGCCGACATAGTGCTGGTCGCCCCAGGTGCTGCTGATACGCAGCTCCAGCACTCGCCCGGCGGGGCAGCACGGAATCAGGAACCCAGCGCTGCCGCCGCCGCTGCGGCTGCCGCCGCTGCCGGCGCCTGCAGCTCGCGAGCTGGCGCCTGATGCCTGGTCGCTGGTTGCGACGTCCAACGCATCTGGCAGCAGCTGCCATGCCCCCAGCGCCAGCACCGTGGGCGAGGCGGCCAGGCTGGGTGGGGAGTCCTCATCCTGAAACACCGACAGGGCATCGCCTGGAGACGCGCCGCCACTCCTTTCGCTCCCGCCGCCCCCGTGAGCGGCAGGCAGCTGGGCCGCCTGCTGCGCCTGCTGCGCAGCATGCCGCCCGTCCAGCGACAGCCGGCTGCGCTCCCGCTGCCGCTGCTGCACCATGCTCTGCAGCTTGTGGCCCGCGCTGCCAGCCTGCACCGCCTGCTGCTGCCGCGGCGGGGAGGTCTGCCTGCCAGTCCCCGCAGGCAATGGCGGCGGCTCCCCTGCAGCCGCCACCACAGGCGCACCTCCATGGTCCCAGCGCTGGAACTGGCTGGCGCCATCACCGCTGCTGCTCTCGCTGACCACAGCGGCGGCGGCAGCAACAACTGCCTTGTTGGCAAGCCCGCTTGTGCGGCCCAGCCTGAGAGCAGCAAGCTTGCCCAGGAGGCCCTTGCTAGGGGAGTGCTGCTGCGGCTGCTGCTGCTGCTGTTCCTCCTCAGAACCTGCAGCATCGGCAGGCGCGGCTGCTGCCGGCACGCCTGCAGCGACGCCTTCTGCATCTGCGTCTGGTCCTCCCTCTTCCCTGCCAGGTGAAAGAACCGCCGCCAGGCCCATTTCACTGGCCCGCCTGCTGCCAGCCAGAGAGTCTGCGATCAGCTGCCCCGCCGTGTCGCCTCCGGGCTCGGCTTCGGCTGCCCCCTCGGCGCCTCCGCCTGCCGCCACATCCAGCTTGCTGAGCACTTCCAGCAGCACCCGCCGCTTCTGGCTGTCCAGCCGGCTCAAGCGGCTGCTCAGCTCCTGAAGCACCACTTGGTCGGGAATCTCTTGAAGCACGCCGCCAGCACCACCAGTAGCGGCATCATCCAGGAACGGGGCAGCCCCGGACAGCCTGCCGCCGCCCGGCACGCCAGCCTCAGCCCCTGCACCCAGCTGCAGCTCCAGGATGCTCTCACGCAGCACCGCAAGCTCTCCGCTGTTGAGCCTGGCCGCCTGCCGCTGCGGCGGCGGCACACTGGCTGCTGCCGGCTGGGGCGTGGGACCCTCGGCTGCCGGGTGGGATGCGCCGCCCATGCAGGTCGCCCCGCTGCCGCCGCTCTGGCTCTCAGACTCAAAGTCTGCGGCATAGCTGCTGTACGCATCGTTTTCTGCGGCTGGCAGAGCGGCTGCTGCATCGCCTGTGCCCTGCGCCCTGCCCCCACTGCTGCCATCTCCTCCGCCGCCGGAAGAGCGCGCGCTGGAGGCGGCGCTGCTGGCGCTGGCGGCGCTGCTGTAGCGGCTGGCCCTCCTGCTGGCTGCTGCCAACGCCGTGAGCGACAGGTCTTCCGAGGCGAGGTGGGTGGTGAGCAGGCTGGCGCGGCGGGGCGGGGATGAAGCCATCTCTGCTTCCACGCCTGGCGCAGCTGAGGTGGAGTCAGGCGGCTGGCTGGCAGCGCCGTGTGTGGCCGCCGGGTGGTGTGCAGCAGCCTGCTGCGGAAGCGGTTGGCTGAAGGAGGGCGCTGCGCTGCCTATCAGCACGACATCCTCATCCTCCCTGCTCAGCCAGCTGCTGGGCGCCGCGACAGCAGCTAGCGGAAGTTCTTGCGGCGAGGCCGACGGGAGAGGCTGCGGCGAAACCCAGGCCGCGCTGGGCAGCGGTGGAGACAGGGCTGGTGGCTGCGGCGGCGGCAAGTCCCGCTGCTGCTGCTGCGGGGGTGCGAGCGTCGCCTGTGCAGCAGCATGCTGCGTGCCGCCCTGCTGCTGGTGTTGCTTGAGTCGTGATGGTGCCGGCGCTTCCCCAGCTTGCTGCTGCTGCGTCAAACCGCGGCCCTGCTGCGCTGCATGGGCTCCCCTCGGCGACGCGGCAGCCCCGCCCAGCCTGGGAAGCACCACTTTTCCAGGGCTCCTGTGCTGCTGCGCGGCCTTGGTTGCTTGTGCGGCTTGTTGTGGCCCGGGCGCCGCCTCACCCACCGCCCGCCGCTCCGAGGGAGGCTTTGGGGGCGGCGGCGCGCCCCAGGCCCGCCGACCTCCTGCCTGCATCACTGAGACTCAACTGGGACAGGCCCGGCTCAGTCCGAGGGCTAACAGAGCCGTAACCGCTTCGTCGCGCGCCCAGGAGCAGGCCAATTCGAAAGCAGAGCTGATCCCTCGACTTTGTGAAATCGAAAGCGAGTGAATTGGATGGCGGCAGAGGCAGGCGGGAATGATGAGGTGGCAGGGCGCCGGTGCGGCGCCGCACGCCGGCGCCGAAACCCAGCATGCGCAAGCCACTCCTCTACACACGGGTTGCCTGTCCTGACGTCCTCACATCAGGCTACCTATTAATTCAAGTCCCACCGTTCCCACACACCACAAATCCAGCCGCCGCCACCGCCGGACTCCCGCCGCTGAGGTACAACTTGGCTTTGCCGTCCCCAGCCTGCGCGTCCCCTGGCGTTTACAAAGCAACCCCCACAATTGTTGCAGCGTCTAACAAGTCTCAGGCAGCCCAAAAACCATGCGGCGCTTATTCGGTTCCAAGAAGCCAGCGGCCCCCGCGCCGACCATGGATGAAGCGGTGGACAAGCTCAACGTCCGGGGAGACACGTGAGCGGGGAGTCTGGGCGTCCACCGTCAGGAAGTCCGCCGCGTTTCGGCGATCTGGCAGAGGCCTGAAGCGCCTTCGAGCTGCCTGCAGGCTGGATGAGAAGATCCGAAAGCTAGATGAGCAGCTGGCCAAGCACCGGGACAACATCAAGAAGACGCGGCCGGGCCCGGCGCAAGAGGCGGCTAAGCGGCGGGCGCTAGTGGTGCGTCGCTGCTGCTCTTCTGCCTGCACCTGCAGCTCTGTGATGGGATTAGCCTGGGTCCGCGGTGATGCGCTGCAGCACGCGACGCAGTCATCACGCGTGCGGTCAATGCCCCGCAGCCTTGCTGTTCTGCCCATCTAGCGCTTGTCACCTGCTCACTTGTTGGCCCGCCTGCGCCCCACCACCGTACCCGTGCAGGTGCTGAAGCAGAAGCGGCTATACGAGTCGCAGCGAGATCAGCTGTACAACCAGCAATTCAATGTGGAGCAGACGACGTTTGCCATGCAGAGCATGCAGGTGGGAGGACACGTGCATTGAGCCGGAAAAGAGGGCTGTTGCAGGCCGCGGCCAGGCCTCGAGGTTGACACTGCCGCGCCCCTGCTGCTGCCTTCCTCCTGCGCAGGACACGGTGCACACGGTGTCGGCGATGAAGGCGGCGGGCAAGGAGATGAAGGGGTTCATGAAGGACAACAACCTAAAGATCGAAAACATAGAGAAGCTGCACGACGAGATGTCAGACATGCTGGTGCGGGGCCGCTGCTGCTGCTGCCGAGGTGGCCAGCTTGCTGCTTGCTGCACGCTGTCTGCTGCGCGCTGCCGGGTGCCGGGCCGGCGCAAATCCGGCGCAAATCCGCTGGCGCTGCCTGCTGCCTGCGAGCATGGGTGGGTGCGGCGGCCTGCTGCCGTGGCACACACGTCTTGACGTTCTGTCCCATGCCTGGGCTGGGCTGCCCTGTACCCCACCTGCAGGACTACCACCAGGAGATCCAGGATGTCATGGGCACAGCGTTTGGTGTGCCCGAGGATGTGGATGAGGTGGGCTGGGGCTGCAGGGGGCTGGCAGTGCGGCATCCAGGCGACTGCAGCGACCGCCCCGTCCGTCGCTTGCTTGCGCTGCTGCCTGTGGCGACAGCGGCCAGGCCGAGGGCATGCGACCCTGTGTGACCTGTGTGTGGGCCCTGCGTGCTGGCTGCTGTTGGTGTGCTGCCTGCAGGATGAGCTCATGGGGGAGCTGGATGCACTGGAGGATGACCTGGCAGCGGAGGGCACCACCTCTGGCAGCGTGCCCGCCTACCTCCAAGACGTGGACCTGCCAGAGGTGCCGCAGGGGCAGGCGGCGCAGCCCGCGCAGGCGCAGGCAGCAGACGAGTTTGGGCTGCCGGCCATCCCGCAGCGGACGTGAGGCTGGTGGGGCTCGGCGCCCCTGCTTGCAAAGCCTCGGTGCAGCGCCAGCGACTCCCGCCAGCTCGGCTGCAATGCTGCTCGGGGTGCCGCCGCTGCTGGCCACTCCCGCTGCTGCGGTTGGAACCCCTGCCCAGGCCTGTATTTGTTCTGCTCTTTCTCTCGGCTCTCCACTGTCTTTCATCTACTCCTTCCCTGCTGCCGCCACCTGGCCCTTGGTTCCACATATACACCTGATGGTTGTAATACCGATTGGAAACGAGCATGCGTCAACAGTGCTTGCTCGTCAAACAGTGCTGGTGTGTGCTGTAGGGCGCAGGTGAAGCGAGGGACACATGCCATCCACATGTGCGCTTTCTGACCTCCCACGCCACCGCCACTTCAGCCTTAGTTGTGGAGTCGGGCCGTGTCGCTCGCCTTTGCGGCCCGTCCCAAAGGCAGGCAGGATCATTTACTGTCCTGGATGCAACTCTATTCAACAGGAACCAATAGTCGGAATGGCCGGCTCTGGAAAGTAGTTCAAAGCAGCAAGGGCTGTGTTGCATGCGTGGCAACACGCCATGCATGAAATGAAAATGTGGGGCAAAGAAAAGAAGGGCAGCAGCAATATTTTTCTAAAGAATAAGTGACAAGTGCAGAAGTACGGGGGGGGGGGGGGGGATGCCCCATTATTATCTATGATCGCGTTTGTTATTGATGCGGAGTGCGACTGGCGTGGCTGGGATTGACCGGGGGGCGGCGCATTCGCTTGCATCCCTCAAGGCAGCCTCGAGGCTTTGGACCAACAGAAGGACTGCAGACACCAGTGGAGAGCAGCACGATCGGTATGCTCAGGTTGGAGCACACTCCTCTGCTGCTTGGATGCATAGGCAGGAAGTCAAGCGGGCCTGGCGAGCCACAAGGGGTGGCGAGCCGCCCAATTTCACCTGGCCTGTCTTGCCGCCAGTCCACAGGTTGGAGGAGCATGCGGTGCACCTCTTCTGGCCAGCGCCCGTCGTGTATGTCTGCAGCACAGCAACGCCGCACACAATGGTGGGCAACATGAACACAGGTGGAGTGCCCAAGACCAGGGCAGTCCCTGCCCATCAGACCCAGGGTGGCGCATCCAGCATCCAGCAGCAGGCACAGGCGGCGGCAAGCGGGGGCGCACATTTCTGGGGCATGGCAAGCACGCGACTTTGGCAGTGGTGGCGTTCTTGTATACATAAGTTCCCGGCGAGCACAGGGCGCTCGCCGCCTGGGCTTGGGCCGCACACGAGCTCCCTGCACAGCCACCACAACCGCCATGCGCCAAGAGTGATGCGCTCTGTGCAGCAGGGCGAGCGCCGTGCAGGTGGCACTCGCGCAACAGCGGCGGCAGGCGCGCACACTTCACTGCAGGGGCTGCCGCCAGAGTTGGCGCGCGGCGCCTCACCTGGCGGGCAGGGGTAGCATGCGGTGGCGTTTCCGTCGCTGGTCCAGCCCGTCTCGCAGAGGGTGCAGTAGGGCTGCAGCCCCGAAGAGAAGTAGCCCACCGGGCATGCTGTGGGCGCGCTGGCGCCCTCGGGGCAGTGGGAGCCGGGCGGGCACGCCTGCAGGGGCAGGAGAAGGGTCCGCGAGGCGCATGCGAGGCGGCTGGGCGGACGCTGCCGACAGGCAGGCTGTGTTCTTGGCGCGCTGCAGCTAGCGACCACCGCGCACAAATGCACAACCCCAAGCCCGCCTCCTCACCTAACCTAACACTCACCACCACCCACCCACCCACCTTGCAGGAGGTCTGCCCCTCTTGGTCTTGATAGTAGCCCCCATCGCAGTCGTTGCACACGTCGGCGCCGGTGAAGTTGGCGTATGTGCCGGGCCGGCACTTGAGGCACGCCTCTGGGCTGCTGCTCATCGACTCCTCATTGTAAGTGCCCCGCGGGCACGCGATGCACGCCGTCTTGCCCGTGGAGGGCTGATAGCTGCCGGGCTCGCACACATAGCAGTTGCTGCAGCCAGTGTGCAGGAGCAGGGGTGGTTGCGTTGGTTGGGGGTTCAGGTGGGGGCGGGTGGCGGCCGAGAGGCGCGGCAGCAAGGGTTGCGGGGGCTGGGCTGCTGGCTGCCGCGAGGCGAGGCCACTCACGGGATGCCTTCGTCGGGGCCATACGTGCCGATGGGGCAGGCCCGGCACTTGCCAGACCAGGTGGGGATGTCCGCATAGGTGCCTGTGTGCAGCACGCGGCGGGCACGAGGTGGGGTCACATGCCAAGCGTGGAAGGAGCGGGAGGGGTGCAGCCGCCCAGTCCAGCCATGCTGCTGCACAGCTGTGCTGCCCCAGCCTGGCCCACCTCACCCACACCACCTCACATTAGCCGTGCCTCATGCCATACCGCAGCAGGCTGTGCTCACCTGGGGGGCACATGGTGCAGCCTGTGTCGTTTGGGTTGAGATGCGTCCAGCCGGGCATGCAGCCCAGGCAGACTGTGGAGCCGCCTGCCTGCAAGGTCTCCCGCCCGCTGCCGCACTTGGTGCAGGTGTTGTTCGTCCAGGTGGACGGCCGGTACCAGCGCAGCGGGCAGGCATCGCACTGGGTGGCGCCCGTGGCCGCAAACCCAGTCTGCCCGGTGGCCGTGGCGGTAAGGCCGGTGACAAAGCCGCCGTTGCAGACGCGGCACGACCGCGCGCCTGCAGGCAGGTGTGGCCCGTCGCCGGCAGCAGCGGTCATTGCGGGCCTCCTGCACAGCAGCCCTGCGCAGCACTGGCCCCAGCAGCGCCGTCCAGCATGCGCGGCAGCACCTGGCAGCTGCTGCTGACGAGGCAGGGGCGCGAGAGGGGCAAGGGAGGTGCACCTGTGTTGGTGGCGAAAGTCCGGGGAGGGCAAGGGGTGCACAGCCCCGCGTTGGGGATTGGGTTGAAGTAGCCGGCCTGGCAGGGCAGGCACTGGTACCCTCCAGGGCTCTTCATGCCCGTCTCAAAGCCCGCCGGGCAGCTGCAGGCAGGGAAGGGCGGCCGCCAAGGCACAGCGACATGTCTGGGAGTGTGGGAGGGTCTGGGATGGTATCTGCCGCAGCAGGCAACCTGGGTCTGCTGCCGCCAGAATTCTTCGAAGCACTGCCGCGCTTGCCGCCTCAATGCTGCCCATCCATGGCTGGCTCAGCGCACGCTGGCTTAGCGCACGCTGCCGGCTCGCCTGCCGGGGCGATGGTTTAGGCGGCGATGCAACGGGGGGCAGCAAGCACACCTGGAGCAGCGGTAGTCTTCTGCGGTGGCATATGTGCCGATGGGGCACTTGATGCAGTAGGTGGGTGCGGAGTAGACATAGGTGGAAAGGGTGACCTCCCCCGGGCCGCACTGGATGCAGTTCCAGGCGCCGGTGGTGTTAGAGAAGGAGTTGGCGGGGCAGGACTTGCACTGCTGCAGGCCGCGCTCGTCGGCATAGTGGCCCGGGTTGCTGCAGAACAGGTGACAAAGGGAGGGGAGCAGGGGCACCGGGGCGAGCGGCCAGCAGGAAATATGGGGTCAGAAGCGGTGCACATAGAGATGGCAGAGTGCATGGCGCCTGTCCAAGAATGGAAGGCAAACAGTGAAGGCACTCTGCTGCTGGCGGCCCAGCACGCACCAGGCGGGGCAGCCTCCGGATGTGGGATCGCGCGGCGTGCGCCAGACGGTCGCGGCGGTGCCCAGCTTGCACAGCGTGCAGGCGCCGGCGCCGTCTGCCGAGTAGGTGCCAGGCGGGCAGTCCACGCAAAGCGTGCTCAGCGTGCCATACGCGCGGTACGTGCCGGCAGGGCACTTGAGGCACACGGGGGAGCCGGCCACAGGCTGGTAGGTGCCCGCTGGGCACGCTGTGCAGTAGGTGCGGACGACATCGGGAGGGGTCACAGAGTAGCAGAGGTCATCCTCACAAGGGCTCTCTGCAGCAGGGCGGCACGCAGGAGGGACAGATCGGAGCTGCCCTCCGCACTTGCTGCAGCATCGGGCTGGGTCCAGTGCGGGCGCCCCGCGGCGGACTGGGATGCGGTCGGCTGCAGGGCAGCTGCCTCCACCCCGAGGGTGAGCCTGCCTGGGCAGGCAGGGGGTGCTCACCAGAGGGGCTCGGGGGCAGGTCTGGGCAGGTCTGGCACGCGGAGGCGCCCTGCAGGCTGTTGAAGTATCCCATGCCGCAGCTGCGCACCGTGTTGTTGCTGCACTCGTAGCCCGGCATGCACACGGCGCACTGCGACCTGCGATACACCGAGATGCCCTCCTGCGCCTGCGGGCAAGCAGCGGCAGGGTGGCGACGGGTCGGCGGCTGCTGGGGAGTGCATGCGGGGCGCAGCCAAGCACGCGGCGATGGTGCTCGCCGTGCCCACGCAGCCAGCTGCGTGGCTGCGCACAGCGGCAGGCGGCGGCTGCGGGTGCCGCGGCCAACCAAGGCCGCCCTCCCTCCCTACCTGCGGGTTGCTTTCAGGCGAGGTGCCCGGCGGGCAGGTGGCGCCCGTGCCTGGCAGCGTCAGCATGTCTGTGCAGGAGGCCAGCGTGGGCATCTCTGTGCCCAGCTCTGTGGCATACTGGAACACAGCCAGCTCCATGGCGGTGGCAGAGGCGCGGTTGAGGCGCATGCCCACCGGCAGCCCTCCCTGGTCAGCTGTGGCGTAGATGACGCTGGCCGAGGCATAATACCTGCAAGGCAAGGCAGGGCGGGGTGGCGCGAGGCAGCGCACACGGGGCGGAGAATGGAAACTGTTTGGAGGAGTATTCTGAGCAGCAAAAGATGCCAGGAGCAGAGCGGCTGCAACCAGGCAGTGGTAGGCGGGCGGGCAGGCGACTGGGCAGATGAGGCTGGGGCTCTGCATGAGCAGCCTAGGGCGCAGCCGCTCACCCATCAAAGTGGGTCAGGTTGTCGGCGCTGGAGCAGCCGGTGTCTGCCAGCACATACAGCCACACGCCGCACGTCTGGTCGGTTTCAATGGCGATGGTGCGGCTCAGGGTGGAGTTGCAGGCGGCGGTGAAAGGGTTGAAGGCGCAGGACGGGGAGGACAGCGTGGCTGTGGCGGAGGTGGAGGCCACCACCACGCCTGCAGACGGCTGCTCCAGCTTCAGCTCCGTCAGGCCGCCGGGGCCCGCCACCACCACGGGCTGCCCAAAGAAGCAGGAGATGCAGGCGGCGGAGCCGGGGAAGTGGGCGTAGGAGTCGGGGGGGCAGTTGAGGCAGGTGGTCTTGCCGGCGAGAGGCTGGTAGTCTCCCGCGTCGCAGGGGGTGCAGTGGCTCTGCCCTGTGCTGGACGCAAAGGTGCCGGCAGGGCTGCAGGCAGGCAGGACGGTGCAAGACGGGCGGGGTGTGTGGGTCGGCAGCAGAGTAGGCACGGCTGACAGGCGCCGGTGCCGTACTCAGGGAGCGGCACCGCTGGCTGGCAGTCTGCTGCCGCCTGGTGCTTGTCGGTGCCCCGGGTGCCGGCTTACCAGTTGGAGCAGGTAGTGGATCCCGTCTTGGCGGACTTTCCAGTGGCGCACGTAACGCTTGCGGCGGTGCCGCCAGCGCAGGAGGAGCCCGGCGGGCACAGTGCGCACACGCGGGTGGCCCCCGTTCCTGCCGTGTAGCGTCCGGCGGCACAGCCGCTGTTGTAGGCGCAGGCGCCAGCCTGGCAGGCCGAGGTGCCCTGGACGAGGACGGTGCCAAGGGAGCCCTGCAGGAGGGAGGAAGGCTTGGCTAGGCTGGCATGAGGCGCCAGCGTGCGGCCAGAACGCAGCGGAGGCGGCAAGCCAGCAGCCCGACAGCCATGCAGCATCGCAGTTGCTCGCTGGCAGGCAGCAGCACCAGGTGCTCACCGATATGATGTTGTATGCCAGCGTGTTGCTGGGCGCTGCTGTGGCGATGCGCACATTGTCGGCGCCTATCGTCACACCCGTGACCCCGCTGAAGTTCTTTCCAAACAGCGCAGTGTCTAGTATCTGCTGTAGCGCCGTGCCCACCGCTGCCGCGGTAAAGCTGGTCAGCATGCTGCCTGGCAGCGGGTCACGTGGACAGGGCTGTAAACAGCGGGGCAGCAGTCTGGTTGGCATGGCCCCAGCAGCGGCAGCGCATCAGGCTGGGCCAGTAAGCAACTTGTCCGGCCCTGGTTTTGGCAGTGCACAGCAGTACTGATGTTCTGGGCGCCGGGCACGCCTGCCCATCCGCCCTTCCTTGCCTCTGCCCCACCCACAGCCCTAGCTAGCAATCTGCTGGCGCCCCACCTCGACGTAAGGGTCCTGCATCGCCACGGGGCTCCAGAGCGTGGTATAGGACCAGCTGGCGGCGGCCAGCGGGAAGCTGACTGCCACCACACAGCCCGCATCTACCGTCAGCGTGAAGCGCGCAAAGCAGGTGGCGTAGGCCGCGGTCGTGTCGGTGGCCCCTGTCAGCGCCAGCGTCACTGAGCCCGTCACAGGGCAGCTGCAGCACCCGGGCAACGCAGCACTGCAGGGCGGCAGTCAGGCCAGCAGCGTGCAGCACCGCGAGAGGAAAAAGGGTTTGCATTGTGGTGCCTGTGTGCCACACACGATGTGTTAGCAGGGCGATGGGCGCGAGGCCCCAACAGCTGCCTCTCACTTGACGGCAGGCGGTGAGGGCGGCGGCGGCGGACTGGTGTTGTTGAATGGGGGCGCCAGCACACGCAGGTTGGCGGTGGGTATGGCCTGCTTGGTGATGCCGCTGGCGGAGTATTGCAGCACCAAGCTGCCGGTTCCGGTGGACTGGTAATAGTCCACCCTGCGAGCAGGAGGTGGAGAGGGAGGAGGGCCGGCCCGGGAGTGGGCCAGGGAGTGGATGAGCGGCTGGGAAGCAGCTGCAGCTGGCCACCGCCTGTGGCCATGCCACGTGCTTCAACCGGCCTCTGGATTCCAGGCAGCACGCGCATGCGACGCCAAGAGAGTCAGCCTGTATCAGGCGCTCACCGGAAGGGGTGCCAGCCCTTGATCAGCCAGATGGTGATCTTCTTGAGGACGCCCACGCAGGCCGCCGCGCCCCCAAGCCAGCCGTTCTCACACGAGTCGGCATCCAGGGTGGGCGTGCCATCCAGCCACAGCTTGCTGTTGTCGTCGGCTGTCATGAAGAAGGTGTAATAGCCCTCGGTGCTGACCAGCAGCTCGCCGGTGAACTGCGGGAGCAAGGGCAAGGCGGGCGGGGGGGCAGCGGCCAATGGACAAACTAGCCAGCGGCCTTGCTGGGCTCAGCGACATCAGCGGCAGCAGGGCGCATCCGCGGGTCTGCTAGTGCTGCTGCTTCAAAATCAGGCACGCACCTGTGCCACCAGGTTTGTCGTGTAATTTATCCCGCCTTGCGACATGCAGTCTGACAGCTTGGAGCACTTGACGGTGCCGGCCAGCTTGTTGACGACCAGGGCGGCAGCGGGGAGCATGGCATAATTGGATGGGAAGTCGTCGACTGGGCTGCCGTCCTGCCATGCCCGCAGCCAGAGCCCAGGCTGGTACACATAGCTGCATGGCAGGCATGTGGCAAGCACCCCGTTGGTCTGGTGCCGCACAAATCGCGAGGCGGCGGTGCGGGACGGTGGCGGCCGCCGGTGCAGCTGCCTGCCAGCCCGCATCCCCCACCCTCTCCGCCGCAATTCTTCAATGCAATTGGCGGCCCTGTAGGAGCCTGAGGCCTGGCAGGCGAGCACATAGTGCAGTCACAACCGGCGCTCACCCGTTTTGCGCCGCCACAGGACTTCCCAGCATCAACAGGTGAACCATCAGGAGATGAAGGGCCAGCATGAGGCCCCAAGGGTGACCCCAGGGCGCTGCTGGGCCCCCTCGGTCGAGCACCATGCCTGCTCACTCCGGCCTGGCGGCCGTGTTGCACTCATGTGCAGTGTGTAGGTGCATGGATGATCTCGGTTGGAAGCCAGAAGTGCGACATTTGGAGGGTGCCCGCGTCATCGGCGCCCTAAACTCCCGCTCTCGGTCCCCTTGCTGGCGACCGAAAAGACGCTTTTGGGTTGCTCGCCGCATTGGCATTAGTATGGTCATTGCATCGCACTTCCAATCAATCGGCGGGCGTTCACCCTCCCGCCGCTGGCCACCAGGATGGGACTCATCAGGCTGCTGTTGCCATGGTCACTTGTTGCCATCCCAGGAAGGAGGCTGCCTTACACACAGCAAGGTTTTGTGAGCCGCCTGTGAGCAAGGCTTTATGAAGCCGCCTAGGCAGACTGATCCTGCAGGCGCATCCCCGCCAGTCATTGACATGCCGAAGCGGTTGGCCGCAAACCGGCCCGCTCCATTCTCAAGGAGGCAAGCGGCAAGGCGTATCACACCGAAACCGGGAGGGATCGGCAACTCAAACCAAATATAGACAGAGCTTGAAACCACAAATAAATCGGGGGCTAAGACTTAGAGTAGCATTCTGGTTACACGAACATGATGATGGGTAGAATGGCCATCAGCCTTCACTCGTTGAAGCGGATGGCGCCGGTGGAGAGGACGAAGAAGAAGGTGCCAATCATGGTTGAGATGATGGTGGTGAAGCTGAGCACAATGACGATCTGCGTCGTGGTGATCTTGGTCCACCAGGGCGCCGTGTCCTGCAAACAACCACAGCGGGGCCAGGGAGGCGGGCGGCGGGTGGGAGGAAGACAGAGCAGGGGTGGTGGTCATCTACCTGGCGGGTCGGGCACATCCCGCTAGGCAGCAGCAGCACCAGACAAGAGGCAGCCAAGGGAACAAAGCAGCCGTGCCGTGCCGCTTGCCTTCTGGGGCATGGGCATGTAGGGAGAGAGGCCCGCCGGCTCGGCAAACGGCCGCTTGGCGGTCCCGCCAGCGCTGCCAAAGGCGGTGCTGCCACCGCTGCTGCTGCTGGAGGGGCCGAATGGGCTGACGGGTGTCTTGTCTGCGCAAGGAAATCGGCATCGTTGGCGGTCAAGGCAAGCACAGAACACCTTCCTGGTTTGTTGGGAAATGGCTGACTGGCGTCCGGCCATCAACGTGCATGCGCCCCGCATTCCCAGCAGGCACTCCACATGCCACCGCTTCATCACCGTGCGATCAGCATGCCCGCACCTGCTGGTGTGGAGTTGACCTGGAAGGGGCTTTTGGGTGTCGGCTCGGGTGCCGCCGCCGCCGGCTTCACACCGCTGCTGCTGGCGTCGGCCGCTGCCGCACTGCTGGGCGCTACTGCCGGGTCTTCTGCAAAGGTGGCCTCTAGCTCATCCAAGTTGAGCTCCTTGCGGTCGCGATCCACCAGGCGGCGCACCTGGGCGGCGCCCTGCGGCAGCGGCGGCGCCAGGCGGCGGCGCAGGTCGGCCACCTTGCGGCCCCACCAGGCCCGCAGCAGCCGCAATGCCCGCCCCCACAAGCTGCCGGGACCCCCTCACAGCGAGGTGTGCTGCCTCCAGTAGACTGGCCCACGGCTTAGCGCCTCACCTCGTTGAAAGGCTCCGCCCGGGCGGGCTGCAGCTGGCCCCGCAGGGACTGCTGTCCTCGTGGACGCTGGAAGAGGCCCCCGGGAGCCACAACTGGCCTTTGGCACGCCAGCAGGTTCATGCTACTACTGCTGCAGACGCTGGACAGGCCGGGGACCTTTTGGCAAGCTTGGATCGATGTGTGCTGTCAATAAATGGGCGCTGGACGTCTCGCGGGCGCGAAATATCTTGATGGAAACGTCCGAAACCTGGGCATGGGCATGCATTTAGCCCGCATCCCGCTTCTGAAGCCATCTGTCATCTCAAGCATCGTCATATCAGAGGCTAACAAGCAACATTGGCGCTGCTGTTATCCCATCCGCACCATGTCTCGCTGTTGCGCTACCCTGTAGGGCCCGGCAGCTTCCCAGACGCAAATGCAGTTATCACAGAGAGCAGCAGCCGTGCTGCTGCTGCCAGGGGACAGCCACTACCCCAAGCGGCGTCGGCTGCGGCTTGGACGGCGGCAGCAGGCGGCACCTGCAGCTGGCAGCAGCAGCGACCTAGCTCACCAGCCAGCCCCCTGGCGTGCTCCCAACAGTCTGTGCCACCAGGGTCTAGCCAGACGGAATCACGCTCGCGGCCGCACCTTGCAACCGCGGGCGACAGGCGGCGGGTTGGCTGTCGAAGCAGGCGGCGAGCAGCAGCCAGCCTCCAGCAGCGGCTTTGCGCGCGTCGTGCTGCCCACAGCCCTGGCACTGCTGCTGTGCAACATGGACCGCATCTGCCTCAGGTAGCCGCTGCGCTCCGGTTTGGTGCTGCCTGCAGTTCCGTCTTCAGCCCCATGCCAGCGAGCTCGGGCTCACCTCGTGCATGTTGTGCGGTGCGGCCCCCTTTGCTGCAGTGTGGCCATGCTGCCCATTGCAAAGGAGCTGGGGTGGAGTGCGGGCACCCAGGGCGTCATCCAGGTGTGGTGTGCGATGCTGGTTAGGCAGTGCCCCGTGGCGACCCAGCCTGTGCCGCATCCGCCTCCCTCTAGTTTGCCCACCCCTCCTGCCTGCTTTGCCTCCTACCTGCCTCCAGTCGGCCTTCCTCTGGGGCTACCTGGCCACGCAGCTGCTGGGCGGCACACTGGCCGACCGATACGGAGGTGCGGCGGGCAGCGGGGGCACACAAGGAGCTGAGAGCTGTTGTCCTCTCGCCTGCCATGCCTCTCTACGTCATCCTTGCTCAGGCCCGCCACCCCTGCCCCCAATGTGGTGCAGGCAAGCTAGTGATGGGGGCGGGCATCGCCTGGTTCTCTCTCGCCTCAGCGCTGCTGCCGGCCGTCGCCATCACGCCCTGGACGGCGGCGGCGGGGCTGACGCTGCCGGCGGTGCTGGCCGCTCGCTTCCTGGTGGGCTTTGGCGAGGGTGAGTGAGCGGGCAGGGCGGCACGAGCTTGGGGAGGGGAGCGAGGGCGGCCTCCCTGCATGCTGTGCAGGCTGGGCTGCCTGCCCAGCTGCCTCCCGCACAACCCGCCCTCTCTCCCCAGCCTGCACCCCTGGCTCCCGCCTTCTCCCTCCCTCCAGGCGTGGCCCTGCCATCCATGAACAACCTCATCGCCCGCCACATCGACCCATCCAAGAAGGCGACAGCGCTGGGGGCCGTGTTCACAGGCTTCCACACAGGTGTGCGTGTGTGGTGAGGCCCCCCCCAATCTGTAGCACTCCCGGACAGGCCTGCTGGTTGCACACCAATGTGTGGTGCCTTATGTGGCTGCCGCTCACAGGTCCCCTCATGCTGCCAGCTACTGTCATTCGTTGCGGCGCCGGTGCTCCTGCCCCCGCAGGCAACCTGGTGGGCCTCCTGCTGTCGCCGCTCATCCTGCAGCGCTTTGGCTGGCGGGCGCTGTTCTACCTCTTTGGGGTGGCCGGGGCGCCGCTGCTGCTGCTCTGGATGCTGGTTGTGCCCGGCAGGGCGCCGGCAGGCGGCGGAGGAGGAGCCGGCGGCGCCGGCGGCATTGGGCTGGGCCAACTGATGAGCAAGCCCGCCACCTGGGCCATCATCGTCGCCAACTTTGGTGTGCGGGCCTGCCGCCCTGCCTGCACCTCTGCCATGCCGCTGGCTGTCCACCGCTCTCTCCTTGCGGCACGCTATCTCACGTGTCAGTCACCAGCCGTGTGTCATAGGACCGGATGCCCACTCGCACCCAGCCGCCACCTCTGTTGCATCACCCCACGCCCCACGCCCCACGCGTGTCCGCGCCTGCCCTGCAGTCAACCACTGGGGCTACTTCATTTACCTCAACTGGATGCCCACTTACTTCTACAGAGTGCTGGGTGGGTGCCGTGGCTGCCAAGCATGCTGTTATGTGTGGTTGCAAGGAGCAGGTCTGCTATGCTGCCTGTCAACCTGGCTGCCTGAACCGGGCCCCCCGCTCTGCTCTGCCTCTCCCACGGCTGCTTTGCCGCAGGCATGGACCTGCGGGCCAGCAGCCTGATGAGCTTTGTGCCCTGGGTGGTCATGGCTGTGGGCAGCAGCGCGGCGGGCCTGCTGGCAGACGGACTGGTGAGTGCTGCCGGAGCGCGCATCGCTCGGCCAAGTGCTGGGATACGGCGCTGGCTGCTGCGCGCCACGGGGGGCCAACCAAGCTCCCTGCGCCAGCTCGCCGCACCCCACTCACCCGCTCGGCCTGCTCGCCTCGCCTGCCTGGCTGCTTCAGGTGCGGCGCGGCGTGCCGGTGCTGCGCGTGCGCAAGGGCATCCAGACAGCGGCCTTCCTAGGCCCGGTGGTGGCGCTCATGGCGCTGGCAAACCCCGCCATCTCGCCGCCCCTGGCCCTGCTCTGCATGACGGCAGCGCTGGGCATCACTTCCCTGGGTGCGCACCCCCGCCTGCTTGGGGCCATCCTCTGCCTGTGGGGCCCTTGGCAATGCCTGAATACCTCGATAGAACACCCCAGCCATGGTGCATCAGCCTGGCTGCACAGTCATCCAAGTGTGCTTGCGCGGCGCTCGAGTGAACCTGCCCGCTGCTCTCCCTGCCTCGCGACTGCATGCAGGCCAGGCGGGCTTTGTGGCCAATATGAGCGACATCGCGCCCCGCCACGCGGGCGTGCTGTTTGGCCTCTGCAACACCTTTGGCAGCCTGGCGGGTATCCTGGGGGTGTCGGGTGAGCGTAGGCATGGAGGTACTTCGGTGGGCCGCGGCGCAACATGGGATGGGACGCAGCTTTTGCACGCGCTGCGGCCTTGAGCATTGCTCCCCTGCTGCCATGCCCCTGCCCCGCAGTCTGCGGCTTTGTGCTGGAGAGGACCGGCAGCTTCTCGCTCATCTTCCAGGCCACCGCGGCGCTGTATGTCCTTGGCACCATTGTGTGGAATGTCGCGTGCCGCGCCGACCGCCAGTTTTGACCGAGTTTGGGACGAGAGGGAGGTGCCTGGCATGCAACCAACCAGTGTATTTTTGGAGGAAATCTGTATTCTTTGCCGGCCTGTGGAACTCTGCGGTTTCTCCGATTGATGTCACCAGCAGGAGCGGTAGGCGGCTGGCAGCAGCGGCGGCACTGCACTGCTTGGGCAGGCTCGGGATATCATGCAGGCATCTGTAGTGGAACCTGATTGTATCCCAAAGCTCTATAACCTGATCTGGAAGGGGGAGAGACATCGAGGTGGGGCAGCCGCCACCAGGCCTCAACTCGGGCAAAACATGCTGGCACTTCTCCCAACGATTACTCAACAGGTCCTTTGCCTGATCTATCATGCATGCCAGTGTTCTTTTATTTTAGAGAAGGCCGCAGCTTAAGCCACTGTGCTTCAATCGCTGCCACCCCTTGCCCTGCCGCTCGCTGCACCAGCATTTGGCTGAGCACGATCAGTGTATAGTCTGGTCGGCTCCGCCGCGGGAGCCGACTCAGCCGCCGCCGCCGCCGCCGCCCGCCGCCGCCGGGGCGATGGTGGACTGGAAGCGGGTCTGGGCGAAATGCCTGCAAATCTTCATCGACCAGTTCCTCCTGATCAGCTATATCGTCGCAGCCACCATTGCCCTTGCCTGGCCAGCCCCCGGCAAGGCCGTGGCTAGTGTGCAGGTGGGTGTGCCGCGGCTGCGACGGCGAAGCAGCGCACTGGTCTGGGAAAGGTTGCCACCACGTGATCTCCAACCTTTTTTCTGCAGTTTTATGTGAACGGGCGGGCCTACCAGATCGAGAAAATCATCAACATCATGATTGGTGCGCTGGCCTGTCCGCTCATCATGCCACGAGCCATACCAGGGCGTTTGCTGCTGCCGTGTGCACTTGTTTATCTCATGATTATTTATCATCTCATGCAGTGTTCCTCATCAGTGGGGCCATGCTGAAGACGGACGACATCAGGAAGGTGTGGCGCTACAAGCTGGGCGTGCTGTACGGCTTTATCTCCACGCTGGCCATCACTCCCTGCTTAGGCTTTGCCTACCGCGCCATCCCGCTCACCCCAGACGAATTCACAGCCGGCCTGACGCTCACCACCGCCGCGCCACAGACGCTGGGCATCGGCATCAGCCTGGTCCGCTCCTGCGGCGGCAACGAGGGACTGGCGCTCATCCTGACCGGTGCGGTTGCCATGCATCATGCAGGGGCGGTGGCCGTGGGGGCTGTGTTCGCCGGAGCAAGTGTCTGGTACCGTATCTGCCTCCTCACCTCTGCCCACCCTTGCACTGCAGCTGGAACCAACATATTGGGCATCTTCACGATGCCGCTCTGGCTGAAGGCGCTCTTCAGCGGCACAGGTGCGCCAACGCCGCGCCCGGGCCCCCACACACGGGTCCGCCGTGTCCACTCCTGTGCTGCATGGCTGGGGTCGGAACACTGGTGTCCACCCTGCCCTCCCATCCCTTGCAGCCTTTGCCCTCGCTATTGACATGGTGTCCCTGCTCGTCAACCTCATCATTTCGGTGCTGGTGCCATCGCTGATTGGAAAGGTGCGCCAGCCAGCCCAGCTGCCGACGTCCCTCCCCACACATGCCGCCCACACCCACACCTGCGCCACCCACTCAAGTCTGTTGTGACTGGCTGCACCTGTGCAGGCCATCCGCGAGCTGGTGCCGGGTGCCGCGGGCTTTGTGGCGCGGCACAAGGTGCCGCTGTCGCTGTTCAGCACAGCAAACCTGGCCTTCATTGTGTGGCAGGTGCTGTCCAGCGCGCAGTCAGTGTGTGAGTGTCGCTGCGGGCTGGACCATAGCAGAACTGAAAAGCTGTGCGCAGGAGGGCTTGATTGCTTCATTGCGGTACCAGGCTGTCCCCCGCTTCCCCTGCCGCCTTGAATCATCGCCACGGCTTTGACAGTGATTGCTGACCTCTGCGCCCCACATTGTGTGCAGTGATGGACCAGCCCTTTGTGAGCATTGTCTACGTGCTGCTGCTCTCTGCCGCCCAGCATATCCTGTACCTCCTGTTCAATTTCGCAGTCACCACGTGAGCGCGCCACTGACGCCAGCCTGCTTGCTTTGCCTGCTCTGCGTACCTGCACCCTACTCGTTGATGCGCTACGTACGGTGCGCCCGCACTTGCAGGCTGGCCTTTCGCATGCCGCCTCCCGAGAACATCGCCACCTCCATCATGGCAAGCCAGAAGTCGGGCCCTGTGGCGGTGGCGGTGATTGGCTACATCACAAATGATGTCGCGCAGCAGGGCCTGCTGGCCATACCGGCAGTGCTGGGCCAGCTGGTGCAGGTGAACTGAGGGCATCACATGTTGAGTTAGATCTTCCTGGAGTGCTCCTCTTGACTTCTTGGGTCTGGCAAAGCCAAGGGTAGAGCTTATGGCGCGTGCCACCCCTTGCAGGTTTTCATTGGCAGCGCCCTGGTCCCCTTCTTTTCCCGGATCACCAAGGCCTACCAGCGGGCTCAGCAGGTGGCGGCGGCAGAGGCCGAGGAGGCGGCAGCAGCGGAGGCGCTGGAGGGTGGCGCAGACAAGGCGACGCTTGCACAGGAAGCAGCAGGCGAGGAAGCGGAGAGTATAGGCGGCAAGCCCAGCACGCCGGCCTCCAGCACCTCAACGCAGTCGCTGGAAGCAACGCGGAGAAGCGGCGCAATTGGCGGCAACCCGCATCCAATGTCAGCAGGCGACGCCAGCCAGAAGCCGCCTGAATGATACGCTGGCTGTGCTGCCGCCCCTCTGCTAGATTTCATTTCATTTTTGTTTGTCCCATTTTCCGCTGCACCTATTCAGCACTGATCCCTCATTCATTCCTGCTGACCCCACAATATCGGTTGGGCTGTAAAGTAGAGCTTGCACATGGCAGCCGACCAGCTGTAGTCAATTGCTCCGTGCCTCGCCTCCCGCCCCCTGCTGCCGCCGCCGGTTGTCGCGCTGGCGCTTGCTGCCGCCCGCACCCCGATGCTTGCTGTGCTTGCGCTGTGGCGCTCTCTCCTGCTTCTCGTCAGCCTCCTCCTCATCGTCATCATCCTCGCTGCTGGCTGCGCCTTTCCGCCGCCGCTGCTTCCGCTCCTGCTGCTGCTCGATGGGAGGAAGCATGCTGGCATCTGTCGGGCACAGCGCCAACCCTGCAAGCGCACTCCATCCCAGTGATCAGCCACGGACGCGAATCAAAGCAGCCCAGCGCCCAGCAACAGCAGCCGGCATGCAGCACGGCATCGGGACGGCAGCATGCGCCGCGATGGCGCCCGCTCGCCCGCATGGCAAGCCCAGCCCAGCCCAGCCCCTTGGCGCACCTGTGGGCAGCGTTTTGCAGTACACTTTGGCCAGCAGGCGCCTGCTGTGCGTGGCGTGCAGGCGCAGGTACCTGTCCAGCCCCACCGAGGCCAGCACCGGCTGCGTGGGGTGCACAGCCAGCGCCCTCACGCCGCCCGCCAGGCCCTTGACCGCCCCCGAGAAGCGCCGGCTGACCACATCCAGCACCTCGATCTGGCCCAGGCCGTTGCCCAGCCAGACGCGGTGGCCTGCAAGGCAGGGAAAGCCAGAGGGGCGCACCGCTCAGGCCGGGCATGCGGGAACCGGATGGAGGCAAGCGGCAGACATGAGAAAGGAGGAGAAGCGACAGCGGCATGGGGAGCGCACTTTGTGGTTCCAACGCCATGCAGGTGACACGGCCCTCGCCCCACGCCAGCTCCATCTGCAGGCACCGGGAGGGGCAGCCCGCTGAATGAGTCTCCATGCACAATGCCACTGCACTGCGTTGCGCTGTGCTGTGCTGCGCCATGATGCACCGCTTCCCTGGACGGAACAGCATGAAAGGCAGGAGAGTGCATAGCAGCCTTCCAGCCAGCCCCTGACCAGGCCCCGCTGGGGACCAGGGCCGCACCTGCGGCCGCTTGCCCTTCGCTTTGTCGTACAGCCGCACTTTCTGGTAGCCCGTGCCAACCAGCAGCCGGTCGCCGGGGCCGCCGTCGGAGCCGCCGCTGCTGTCTGTGCTCGCAAGCGGCGGCAGGAAGACGATGGCTGTGTTCCACGGCCGGTCCACTAGGCCCACTGCAGGTGTGGCTCAAGAAAGGAGGACGTTAGGCCAGGGCCGAGCCTTTGTGAGGAGGCAGCCAGCAACCAACCACCTCAACCCGCACCGCTGTTGGGCTTGCCGCCCTTGAAGGCGAACACGAGGTCGCCGCTGGCGCAGTCGTAGAGGCGCAGCTCGGTGCCTTGGCAGCCCACCGCCAGCCGCCCGGTGGCTGGGTCGTACGCGGTGCAGCACACACCGGCAGGCACCTGCCAGCTGGCCTGCTGCTCCCAGGATCCGCGGCTGCCTGCAGCCGGGGCGTGCACGCTGGCGGTGCCGCCCTCTGTGACAGACAGCACCGAGGGGAGCGGAGGCGGGCCCTCTGCGCCGCCGCCATTGCTTCCACTGCCGCTGCCGCCGGCGCCCCACAGCAGGTGAAGGCCACGCACGCGTACGGCGTCTTGCTGCTGCTGCGGCGCGCTGCCGCTGCCTGCTGCGGTGATGGGGGTGGCGGGGATGGTGCCCAGGAGCTCGCCTGCGAGCGGCGACAGCAGCTCGATGCTGCCGCTGCAGCGCGCCACTGCCAGGACCGCAGAGGCTGTGTCGCCAATGCCGCTGGCGCTCCCCAGCGCGATGCAGTCGATCCACTGCAGTTTGAAGGGCTGGCCCCTGCAGAGGCGCCTCAGGCGGAAGGGCAGGGATGGGAATGCACGGGACAGAGGGCGAGGGGCGCAGCAGCACGCAATAGCACCGCGCCCCAGGATGCATTGGCTGGAGCTGCTGAGCAGGATGCACACACACAGCGGCGCATCGCATATGGTGCAGCTTCACAGCAGGCAGCTGCCCAGCTCACCAGGTGGAGGCCACCGCGGCGGTGCCAAGCTGGTCGCCGTCGGCGGTCTGCACCACTGCATGGCGTCGGGGCGGCCATGTGCCGCAGCGTGTTAAACGTCATACTGAAGCCTACCAGCGCCCCTGCACGACCCCAGCACCCACCTTTGAGCTGCCCAAGCTCATCGCTGCACACCAGGCGCAGTGGCGGGTCCCGCTTGTCCGCTGCCATTCCTGGGTTGGGGTGGGCTATGTATGCCATGCACAATGCCCTTCGTGAGCGCGATGCCCGCTTTGGGCGCCGCCACTCCAAAGCAGGCGCAGCAGATGGTTCCCTCGGGGCCGAAAAAGCCTCTGGCACCCCGCAGCGCAGCCGAAATACATGCGAGCCCACCCCCAATTTTTCTCAGCATGGCACGGGGCGCCAAATCCAAGAAGAACCGCGGCGGCAGGGCGCACAGCAAGAAGGCCAACAGGAGGCTCAACACCCAGGATGTGAGCATTCGGCGGTGGCGGGGCGCGCAACCATGGCGGGCCGCATGCCCGAATGCATGCTGGATGGGCACCGCCGCCTGCCGCCGCCGCCGTCGCCGCCACCGGCTGGCTGACCTGCGCTGGGAAGCTGCGCTGCCGGCATCCGGCCATTGATGGCTGTGTCAAACACCTGTCTGTCTGGGACCGGTGAACCGCTGGGCCGTCTCCCACCTCCTTAACAGGCTATTGACTTTCTAGAGCGGGAGACACGGGAGGAGCGGCAGGGGTTGGTGGTGGACGGTGTCCCTGATGCTGACCTCTTCTTCATCGACAAGGCAAGCTGCCTGGCTATGGCTCTCTCCCGGGTTGCACCAGTCATGTGTATGTGTGTGCGCTCTTTTTCGCGTCCCAGCTGAAGCAGCACAGTGGCGGCTGCGAGACGTGTGCAGTGCCTCTGGCCTACCCCTGCGCTGTGTGCAGGCGGGCGACGAGGACACGGCAGAGGCGGCCAAGCAGGGCAAGCTGCCGCGCAAGCTGGCGGCGCGGCAGAAGGTGCTTCGCTCGCAGGCCATCCTGCAGGGCGCGCATGCCGCCAAGCCGGCCGCCGTGGCTGTGGCACGCAAGCCCAAGGGCAGCGTGCTGCAGCAGCAGGAGCGCGCTAAGCGGCAGCAGGGCGGCACGGCGGTGGCGGCAGCCGTCAGCAAGCCCAGGAGAGGGTTGAAGGAGGTCGGGGAGCCAGAGTCCCTTGCGTTCGATGCCTGGGAGGCGCTCGTGCAGCAGGGCGACGGCTGGACCGACGGCCTGCTGCCAGCCAAGCGGCAGCGCCGCGCCGCCGCGCCCGCCTCGCGCCGCGCGCTGGTGGTGGCGGCTGCAGTGGGGCGGGGCCCCGAGGCGCTGCGCCCGGCCGTGCCTGCGGTAGAGATTGACCCCGCTGGCTGCTCGTACAACCCAGACCCAGAGCTGCACCAGGAGGCAGTTGCCACGGCGGTGGCGGCTGAGACGCGCAAGCTGCTGGATAAGGTGCATTAGGGGAGGGTGTTTACAGTGCTGCAAGTTAGTTGCAGGGCAAGGCTGCTGCAGGAACCCTCCACCCATGTCCGTTTCGGCTGCGGCTGGCTGCTGGCTGGCTCTGCACCCACCCAGCCAGGCTGCTGAGCCTTCCTGCCCTGGACGCCCCGGCTGTCCTGGCGTGCAGGAGCTGCAACCGGTGCCGCCTCCCCGCACGGTTGACTACCAGCCGGAGAGCGATGAGCTGGCGCTGCTGCAGACGCTGGAGGGAGGGCCAGAGGGGGAGGCGGATGCACAGGATGCAGACGAGGAGGCGGAGGGCGACGGAGGGGACCTGGAGGCAGCGCGCCGCAAGCGGGTGCGCCCTGCCTGCACACTATGGCACACCAGGGGGCCCTGCCCAGCTCATACTGCTCTGCGGTGTAGCTGAGGTATCTGCCTTCCCCCCATTGGCTCACAAGCTGACGGGATTGGCCTGCTGCGCCCGCCTGCCTGCCTTTCATGCATCTCCTTCAGGATGCTGAGCGGAAGACCAAGAAGGATCGGAATCGGGACAAGCGGCGGCGGGACGCAGAGGATCAGCTGGAGCAGCAGGCAAGCTAGTTTGGCTGCGCGCCCGAAGCGGCCCACCTGCTCCTTGACTGGCAGAGGGGCTTCCGCTGCTGACTCTTCTGCACTGCTGCTACCACTAAACCCCGACTGTATGATGTGTGTTCTCTCGGCGACCCCTTTGTTGCAGCGCAAGCTCAAGGCGCAGCGGCACGAGCTGTCCAGCCTTAAACAGATACAGCAGCAGCTGCACGAAGAGGAGGAGGAGAAGGAGGCGGCGCGGCTGCGGCGGCAGGCACGCGATGTTGCCTGCTGCTGCAACTGCCGCGGAACCATCCGCTGCTGCTGCTGTCACAAGGTGCCACTCTCTCAGCTGCTTGCCCAGTCTAATGCCCCTTCCGCGCTGCCTGCCCGCCCGCCTCCACCTGCAGCTGGATAGGGAGGAGCGTCTGGCTGCCGAGCCCCCTAAGCTGAGCAAGCACAAGTTCCAGCCCATGCCGCTGCAAGTGCTGACAAGCGACGAGCTTGCGGGCAGCCTGCGGCGCCTCAAGCCCACCACGATGCTAGCCAAGGATAGGTTCAAAAGCCTGCAGAAGCGCGCGCTGATCGAGCCACGGCGCAAGATTGAGCAGAAGAAGCAGGGCAAGAAGGTGGAATACATCCAGGTGGGTGCCCGCCCAGCTCCCTGGTGTGCTTATACTTGCTTTTTGCCCCGTCTGCATGCCAGCCAGTTTACCAGGCCAGCCTTGCTGCCTTTTGTGTGCTGCGCCTCGAGCAGCCCGCCCACGCTCGTTGGCAGCTGCCCGCTCGGTTTCATGCACCAGCGTTCCGCAGCTGCTGAGCATGCTGTCTGTTGTGGCCGCGCTGCAGGGCGAGCGGGCGGAGCGGGCGGCGGAGCGGCAGGCGGAGCTGGTTGAGCTGCGCAAGAAGAAGAAAGCGGCCAAGAAGCAGTAGGGGTGTTGAAGCGCTGCAACCTTCGCGCTAGCTCGCTCATGCAGCAGCAGGAAGATCCATGCTTGCGTTTTAAAACAATTATGCTGGGGCGGGCCGCGGTGTCTCGATGTCACGGGCGGTGTCACGGGCGCGGCGTCATGGTGGTGGGGCGGGCGCGTCGGCCTGCAGCTCCTGGGCTGCAGTGGGCGCAAAGGCAGTGATGGGTTCCTCGCAGCTTAACACCACTGGCCCTTGGCTGACGTCCACCTGCAGCAGGGGGAGCAGCGGCAGCGGTGGCAGCGCACGTCGACATACAAAGATACGCCGCTCCACTCGCTAAACCTGGAGCAAGCGGCAAGCAGAGGGCATGGGCGCCAGGCGGGATGCGCTCTTCCGTCCATGTGCACTGCAGCATGGTGTGGCATGGCAAGGCGCGGGCGCCACGACATGACACATCCCATGCACTTTTTTTCGGCAGCCGGGCACGCATATCTTGAATTTGGGCAGGCAGCCCTCGGTTCCGGCCTGGCAGGGGTCGTTGAACACGGTGGCGTACTGCAGGCTGCCGTCGCCGTCTGTGTAGGTGGCTGGGCGCGCAAACGAGTCGGTATCCTCCAGCAGGAGCCAGGCCTTGGTCGAGATGCTGGCATAGGCGGCAGACATGGTAGCATTTGGTCCCAGCACGAAATACTCCTGGCACAGGGCCGGTTCGGGCACATCCAGGCACAGGGGTCCATTATGTCCGTAGGTGTCAAAGTTGACCAGCAGGTAGAAGCTCAGCTCACTGTAGCACTGGCTCTCCACGGTGACAGGCCATACTATGGCATACGACAGGAGCCGCCGCAGCCCGCTGGAAGCCTCGCCCAAGCGAGATGCCGACCGTGCCTGGCACACGGGGCTGCACGCCAGCAGCAGCACCGCGGCAAGTAGGGCGGCGGCGGCGGCGCCGGGCACAGGCGCCATCTTGGGGAGTCGGACGCGACCTCCTTAGCCCAATCAACCTGCTCCGCCCTACGCACTGCAAGGCCCCAGCAGTTGGAGGAGAGGCGATGCGGGACATGCCATGGCGATTGTTACTGTGGGGCTCCACGAAGCAACGCAAAGCTCAGGCTGCCTGATCGCCGACAACCCGAGCGGCGTGCAAGCAGGTCGCCCACCTGCTGGCCTGTGACGGCCTGAAAAGCGGAGGCCCGTGCTGCTCCGCCTCAACCGGCCTGGGCCGTTTCAGGAGACACACAAAGGATGTGAAGCTAGTGCTGCAACACATTCTCTCCTCCTCAATTAGTACCCTGGATTCCGCCAGCGCCCCCGCGGCGGCCGGCCGACAGTGTGCCTTGGTGTACACATCAATCGGAATAGGACGAGTGGCCTATCTGCATTGTACATGTCAGCCCCGACATGATAGGAGGAGCATCATAAGCTGGTTGGCGGACAAAAAGGCGGACTGTTGTCCGAGCGGCATATTGCCTACCATGTTTGATGGGCATTGCTGGCCGTCTTTCAGAAGGATGCAACACTTAAGCAGAACATGCGCCGTGCTGTGGGGGTAGGAGGTGGGCCAGCAGCTGGCTGACGTCGTGATGCAGGACGCGGAGCTAATCAGATAACGAGAGCGCCCGCCCCTAAACCCGACTGATTTCTGCTCGTAATGCCCCACAGAAGCGGTCGGCTAGGGTTTGTGCCGAAACCGCCCAGCAGTGCTCGGTGCTCACCCAGCCAGTGCTGGTCAGTTGCCAGCGCGTGCGAGCCTCTTATTGATTCATCCAGCTGGCATGGACGTAGGGAGCAGCGCCGCTGGAGGGCCGCCTGCGCCCGCCGCGCCGCCGCCACTTATTAGCGAGGACCAGCGCCGCCGCCGCCGGCACCGTAATCGCGTAGACGCAGCACGGAGCCCAGCATCACTCCTGCTACTGTTGGGACTTGGTGAGCTGAGCTGCGCTGCGTGCTGATGCTGGCAGAATGGATGCAGTAAGGTGCAGGCCGACCAAGAACGCACCTCCTGCCGCCGCGCTTGTGCTTGCATGTCCACCGCTCCTTTCTCGGCCATTTGCTCGAGGCTGCCTGCCTGCCTGCCCGGCCTGCACCCTGCCTTTCGCTGCTGCTGCACTGCAGCCCTGCTGGAGGCCCAGTCTGCTGTTGCCACATGTGTCAAGACATCCTGCGCAGTTGGCGGGTCAGCCGCCAGCTGCCACACGGGTCGTCGCGAGCTGCACGAGACCGAGCCTTCAGCCGCCACTGCTGCCGCCGCATCTTCTCGCCCGCCACCTCCTCGCCCTAGACCACGCCTCCCCAGACCGCCACCGCCGCCGAGACCAAGGCCGCCACAACGTCCAAAGCCGCCCC